CAGCACCTGTTTTACATCTCTGCTGCAGTTTGCATCTAGGACAACATTTTCAATTCTCTGAATAATCTCTTGCATATCAGTCTTTCCTTTTTCTTTCCAGGCATCTTCCAAAACTGACCCTGTCAACTTCAGTAATTTTACTGCACAAATTAAGTTGTCATCCATAGGATTAGAGAAAAGGGCATTCAGCAACTCTCAAAGACCAACCTGAAGAATGTCTACTCTTGTAACCTGTCCATTTGTTCCCTTGATCTCCAGGTTAAGATAAAGCTCTCCCAGAAAGAGCACAAATGCATGACATCGTTTTCGAGTAACTTCATCCCCTTTTGCAGCTTGATCTTTAACTTCTTACAGAGTCCGACATCTTTGATGTAGCAATTGGCAGAAGTTGCCACTCTGTGGGCTAATTGTCAGATGATGGGACAGGTAAATCACACAGGCAACCTCCCATGTAAGAGAAATTTGGGATAGATGTGGCCTGTTGATAGATGAATTCCACAAATTCTTGCAAAGCATCATTTGTTGCAACTTCCAACCATTCAGGGTCTCTGCAAACTGTTCAATTTCAGTTTCAAAGCTGCCAGGCTGCTCTGTAAGATGATTCAAAAAATCTTGAGCATATTCTGATGGAGTGGGATAATCCTCACAACCATCCTCATAGGATTCTGTATAATTAGAATAATATCCTGATGGGTAAAATTCGGGGGCATGCACAGACAGCTTAGACACCAATACAGGAGCTACAACCACCTGGGGTTTAGCTATTGCTAACTCGGAGTTCTGTTGTGGGATTTTATCCTGTGCACCAGATGGAGCTCTCCAGGCCTCCTTTGCTCCGGGGCCCAATCGAAACCGTCCGGCATGCTCCGCCTCCTCCTCCTCCTCCTCCTCCTCCTCCTCCGGGGACCGCTGCAGCTGTGCTCAGGCTGGGACGCGGAGGTGAGGCGCCGCGGGCCCGCTCCCACCGCTGCGCCTCACTCGGGCCTCCTGGAGGAGGGCGGCGGCCGGCTGGGGCTTCCGGCGGAGCGCACCTGCCGCTCCCGGGCGCCCGCCTCCCACGGCTGCCCTCACTTTCCGATTCTCCCCCAAAACCCAGCTCCCCATCTTCCAAGCAAACATTTTTGAAGATGATGTCTGAGTAAGAAAATTGGCATTTTTGGCATTCTGAAACTAAATTTGAAATATCTTAGGAAAAACAAAGAGTTATTATTTTTAAAGTATTATTATTATTTGAGACAGTCTCAATTTGTTGCCAGGGTTAGAGTGCCGTGGCGTCAGCCTAGCTCATAGCAACCTCAAACTCCTGGGTTCAAAGGATCCACCTGCCTCGATCCACCTGCCCCGGCCTCCCAGAGTGCTAAGATTATAGGCGTGAGCCACCGCAGGCCCAGCCTAAAGGCATTATTATAGGGCACTGAAGTCTTGGAACTATTGGATCTAGCTGCCGTATGTCTTCAATTTTGTTGCAACGTATTGAAGAGAAGATTGTTATTAAAGGCATTTGCAAGAAAACAGAGATATTGTTGTATCTCCTTTCTCTGTCTGAAACATTTCTTCCAGCATCCAAGGCTCTGTGATGTCTCAAACTTTTAATCATTACTTTAAAAAGAAGTTTAGGCCGGGCGCGGTGGCTCACACCTGTAATCCTAGCACTCTGGGAGGCTGAGGCAGGTGGGTTGCTCAAGGTCAGGAATTCGAAACCAGCCTGAGCAAGAGCAAGACCCGTCTCTACTATAAATAGAAAGAAATTAATTGAACAACTAATATATATAGAAAAAATTAGCCGGGCATGGAGGCGCATGCCTGTAGTTCCAGCTACTCGGGAGGCTGAGGCAGGTGGATCACTTGAGCCCAGGAGTTTGAGGTTGCTGTGAGCTAGGCTGACATCCCCGCACTCACTCTAGCCTGGGCAACAAAGCGAGACTCTGTCTCAAAAAAAAAAAAAGAAAAAGAAAAAGAAGTTTAAAGCTTTAAGGGAAATAACCATATAAAAGAAGGATTTGATTTAGAAAATCCTGAAACAATAATTTTAATGTTGCTTTTAACATGTATGCAAATTATCTGATGCTCCTCCCCTCCAGAGGTGCAGCTTAATTCCTCCCTGTGAGTGTGGCCTGGACTTAATGACTCACTTCAAGCTGATAGAGCAACGCTGATGCAACGGTTTGTGACTCTGGGTGTAGGACATAAATTTCACTGTGGCTTCCACCTTGGACCTCCCTGTCTCTGGGATCACAAGCTCTGGGGAAGCCAGCTGCTGTGTCATACGCAGCCCTGTGCAAAGGCCCATGTGCAGGAACTGGGGCCTCCTAGGACCAGCCAACAAGCAGCTGAGGCCTCTCCCAGCAGCCATGTGAGTGAGCCACGGGTCATGGAATCCCCAGCCCCAGTCCAGCCCGCAGATGACAATGCCTGGCTGACAACTGGACTGCTACTGTGTGAGAGGCCCTGAGCCAAGAGCACTCAGGGAAACCTCTCCTGGATTCCTGACCATCAGAAACTGTAGAGAATGATAAGTACTTGCTGTTTTGAGCTGCTAAGTTTTAGGTAACTTGATACATAGCAGCAGGTAACTAATACAGCCTCCAAAGAGAGAATGAATTATCAGACTTTCTTAAACATGTCATTTGGTTTTGAGATTTAAGCAGAATTTCCATGGCTAAATAAAATATATTTTGTTATGCTTCACAACAATCCATTTATCTGAACTTGAATTTCCAACTGTGATGCAACTGAACACAAAGGTCCAGGCCATGCTAGGCTGATTCTGTGATGTCCCACAATAACCACCCCTGCTTATTCACCTTCCCCCTGTTATTCAATCACCACTAATGTAGGTGCTGCTGCGAAGGGATTTGCAGATATAACTAAGGTCCCAAATCAATTGACTTTAGAACGAGGGTTATCTTGGATCGGATCGTCCTAATCCAGGTGAGCCCTTAAAAGCACTGGGTTCTTTCTGAGCATGAGATTCACAGTGTGATAGGGACTCAGTGTGGGGCATTTCTTCCTATGTCAGATTTGAAAGTGGAGAGGCCATGTGGCAGAGACTGCAGGGGCACCAGGAATCGGGAGCAGACTTCCCTGCCCTCCACCCTGACAGCCAGCAAGGAATCAGGGACCTCAGTCCTACAAATGTCAGAAACCGAACTCTGCCCACAGGGTCCATATAAGTTTGGGGTGGACACAACCTCAAGATGAGGACACAGCTTTGTGAAACCCTGAACAGAAAATCTGCCCACACCATGCTGGGATTTCTGACTAAGGAACAGTAAACAAATAAATGGGTACTGTCTGAAGCCACTAATTTTGTGGTAGTATGTTATGCAGTCATAGGAATTTTATACACAGGCTCCACAGATAAGAACATAACATTTTCTCCACCAAAATGAGTTTATGAACTGCTATGTAACTAGTTACATAAAATAAAATCTTTCCTAACTTTTTTAGTATTTTTCATTTTATGATTTTTATGTGATATAATTAAAATTTAACACAATCGCATTTCATTCATTCATTCAACATTAATTCATTTAGTGCCTACTATGTACCATGTACACCTTCACATAGTGGGGTTACAACTTTGACCCAAACAGCCCAAAGCCCCTGTGCCCACCTGCCTTACATTGCAGAGGGTTCGCAAGAGTGAGACAGAGCCACTGGAGTGTTTGCAGTGAAGAAGTAACAGGACCTGCCTCTCATTAGCAGGACTGCTGAGCACTATGGGGAGGACAGCTGTGGGCAGCAGGAGAGAGGACAATGCTAGTGCCACAGGTCAGGAGTGAGAGGCGGTGGGACTGAGGGAGAAGTGGTTGAGGGATGAGAGGGACAGAGGGAAGGGCTGGAGAAGCAGGAGCTGAGGAACAGGAGCAGAGGGGGAAAGTTCTAAAGCAGTGGAATTCTCAGATTTAAACAGTGTTTTTATACATTTGAATATGTATATCTACAGAGCCTAGCTGGGTGTTCTTGTCTTTGGGACTGCCTAAACAGCAGTTTCCTCCTTATGTTAATCAGGTTAAAAAATACCAGTGTTCCAATAAAATATGCACAAGGCTCAGATGTGAATAATTCATACAAACAGGCAAGGCGTGAGCACTGGTGAGAGGCATTTGGACTGAATGGGAGGAACACGTGCAACTTTGAGGTGATTAAAGTCTGTCCAGGCTCCTGGTTGCAACATACAGGAACAAGTTTGCTTCTTTGTATTGAGGAGATGTCCTGGACTCACATAGAAACTCGGGGCCATGGAATGAGGATAATATTAAACATACAACACACAGTCAGAGATACACAGACTGGGAAAGTAAAACGTAGAGCTTTGTTGTCTCATTGTAATTCGTTTAGACACATTTCTAAATCAAGGGCCCCAATCACTTCTTTTGCAGATCAGATTCCTGATCTTCCGGGGGTTACAAGATTGTGCTACCTGCTATATTTAGTAAGCAAAAAGGAAACTGGTCTCCACGAGTCTCTCTGTGGTGCATTTAGACTCACCGTCTGCAGGTTTACAGAGAAGCCCCCGTCTCCACACCTCCTGTCCCGGGGCGAGCGCATCCGGCATCAAGTTCCCTGGGGGTGAGTTCTTCTAGAAGAGTCGGGGGAGAGGAAAGGAGTGGGAGGCAGGGAGTCCAGTCCAGGGAGCGGGATTCCAGGGCGGGAAGTGAAGGCAGGGGCTGGGCCAGCCTGGCTTCCTCAGACGGCTTAGGGAGACAGTGTGACAAAGAGCCCTCTGCAGGACGAGGGGTCAGGGCACTGTCGCAGGGCCCGGGCGTGGCTCGCAGGGTCCGTCCGAGGGCGGGGTCCGGGGCGGGGAAGCTCGGCGCTGGGGCCTCCCCGTGTCCCGAGGTTCACTTCTCCCGGTCCCAGCCCGCGTCAGCTCCTTCTTCCCGGATACTGCTGACGCGGCCCCGGCTCTCACTCCCATTGGGCGCCGGTTTCCAGCGGCGCCAATCAGCGTCCTACCCGGACCGGCGGACTCAGAGTCTCCCCAGACCACGAGGATGGCGGTCCCGGCGCCCCAACCCTCCTGCTGCTCTGCGGGGCCCTGGCCCTGACCGAGACCGGGCGGGTGAGTGCGGGTCGGAGGAAGCGGTGAGGGCGGGGAGCGAATGCGGGCCGGCCCGCCGGGCGCGCAGAGGCGGGCCGCCGGCGCCGGGAGCCGCGCGCGGAGGGGCGGCCGCGGCGCGAGGGGCGCGCGCGGAGCGCGCCGCCGCGGAGGCCGGGGCGCCGCGAGGCGGGGCGGCGCCGACGCGCGGCGCGGAGCGGCCGGCGCGGAGGCGCGCGCGAGCGGCGCGGCGCGGAGGCGGCGCGCGAGGGCGGCGCGGCGCGGGCGGCGGGGCGGGCGCGGAAGGCGGCGCGGCCGGGGAGCGCGCGGCGGCGGCGCGGAGGCGGGCGGGGTTCCTCAAGCCGGCTTTTTTCCCGGCCCGCAGGGCTTTCCCCACTCCTGAGGTATTTCGGCACCGCCGTGTCCGGCCCGGCCGCGGCGAGCCCCGGTACCTCTCCGTCGGCTACGTGGACGGCACGCAGTTCGTGCGGTCGGACAGCGACCCGCGAGTCCGAGGGCGGAGCCGCGGGGGCCGGAGCCGCGGCTCGCCAAGGACCGGGCGCACTTGGCCGCGCGGACCTGCGCTCCGCTGCTACGGCCGGAGCGACGCCGGTGAGTGACCCTGGGCAAGGTCACAGGTCACGACGCCCCACCCCCAGAGTACCCCGTGTCGCCCCGAGTCTCCGGTCCGAGAGCCACCCGAGGCTGCGGGACCCGCCGAGTCCTTCGACCTCGGAGGAGCGCGCGGGACTTTCACCTGGTTGCATTTCGGTTTAGGCCCAGTCCCCGCGGGGTGGGGGAGGGAGGGGCGTGTCTGACGGCGGGGGCGGGGCGGGTCTCGCACCTTGCGGCGGGTGTCTGGCTGCCACGTGGGGTCGCCTCCTCCGAGAGTACGTGCAGTTCGCCTGCCGCGGCGCGACTAGTCGCCCTGGACGAGGCGGACACGGCGGCTCAGACCTGCAAGCGCAAGTGGGAGGCGGCCGGTGAGGGTGCGGCGGAGCACCGCAGGGCCTACCTGGAGGAGGAGTGCGCGGACTGGCTCCTTAGACACCTGGAGCACGGGAAGAACAAGCTGCAGCGCGCGGGTATGCGGGGCTGCCGGGCGCCTCCCCCGTCTCCTGTGGATGTCCACTCTCTGCTCCCACAAGGAGGGGAGGAGAATGGGACCAACACTAGAGTGTCGCCCTCCCTCTGGTCCAGCGCAGGAAGACACCTCCTGGTGTCCAGATCCTGTACCAGGGAGTGACTCAGGACCCGCCCTTCCCTCTGGGACAATTAAGGATGAGTCCCCCAGGGAATGGAGGGGAAGACAGTCCCTGGAATACCGATCAGCGGTTTCCTCTGACCCTGCCACAGCCACGGGCTCCATGACTTTTCCTCTCAGGCTGTGTTCTCTGCCTTGCACTCTGTGTTTGGGGGTCTGATTCCCGCCCTTCTGAGTCGCTGGCCTCCACTCAGGCTAGGATTGGACGTCCTCGTTCTCCCCCATAAAGACCAGAACTTTCCAAGGAATAGATTATCCCAGACCCCTGGGTCCAGGCTGGTGTTTGGATTTCGCGCTCCCTCCCCCCACCCCGTTTGTCCAGTCCATTCTCAGGGTGTCACATGAGCACTGCTAGAGTGTCCTGTGAGGGATGCAAAGTGCCTGGATTTTCTGACTCTTCCCCTCAGCCCCCAAGGACACATGTGACCCACACCCCATCTCTTCCCGTGAGGCCACCCTGAGGTGCTGGCCCCTGGGCTTCCACCCTGCAGAGATCACACTGACCTGGCAGCAGGATGGAGAGGACCACACCCAGGACATGGAGCTTGTGGAGACCAGGCCTGCAGGGGATGGAACCTTCCAGAAGTGAGCAGCTGTGGTGGTGCCTTCTGGAGAGGAGCAGAGATACACGTGCCATGTGCAGCACGAGGGGCTGCCAGAGCCCCTCACCCTGAGATGGGGTAAGGAGGGGCTGGGGGTCCCGTCTCTTCTCAGGGAAAGCAGGGGCCCTCTGGAGCCCTTCAGCAGGGTCAGGGCTGAGCCTGGGTCAGGCCCCTCACCTTCCAGTCCTTTCCCAGAGCCGCCTTCCCAGCCCAGCGTCCCTATGGTGGGCATTGTTGCTGGCCTGGTCCTCCTTGGAGCTGTGCTCACTACAGCTGTGGTCGCTACTGTGATGTGGAGGAAGAGCTCAGGTGGGGAAGGGGTGAGGGGTGGGGTCGGGGTTTTTTGTCCTCCTAGGGATTTCAAGTCCCAGGTGGAAGTGTGCCCTGCGTTATTATGGGGAAGTTCCATCCACACACACCTGTTCACCCAGCCTGGGTCCCATGTGCCAACATTGACTCTTTTGTAGAGTAGAAGGACAGATGATTGTGGCAATGGAGACCTGATCCCCAGCAATCACAGGTCAGAGGGGAGGACCTTGCTCAGGACATACCTCCAGGAGGGCGGTTGGTCCAGTTGCTCTGATTCTCATAGTTCCTGATTCTTCCCTAGGTCTACAGACACAGTTCTGGAAACTTGTCTGGGGTAGGAGGTTCTTTTTGAGGACCTCATGGCCCTATGTCTTCCTGGCCTCTCACAGGACATTTTCTTCCCACAGATGGAAAAGGAGGGAGCTACCCTCAGACTGCCTATAAGTATGGGGGAGCTCCCCCACCCCTTGACCCTCCTGTAGCCACATCTGCTGTGGGCTCTGACCAGGGCCTGCTCTGTCCTACACCAGGCGGCGACAGTGCCCAGGGCTCGGACGAATCTCTCACGCTTGTAAAGATGAGAGCCGGGGGGGCCTGACATGGAGTGGCAGGGGCAGCAGGGACACAGCTGGGCTGTGGGGATTCTGTGATTGGGTCATTTTGAGTGTATTATGTGCTGTTCAGAGTGTCATCACTTATGGTAAGTGACCTGAGTTTGTTACTATTTTTTTCTATAGCATGAGCCAGTTGCCTTGTGTGGGACTGAGTGATGCAGGATTTGTTCCCGCCTCCCTGTTGTGACAGGAAGAGCCTCTGACTTCTCTATCTGCAAAGGCCTCTGAATGACTCTGCGTCCCTGTTAGCATAATGCCAGGGGTGGGAAGGCCAGGCTCCCCCCCTCCCCCTGCATTGACCTGTGTCCCTTCTCGATCATCTTTCCTGTTCCAGAGAGATGGGGCTGGGACATCTCCATCCCTGTTTCAACTTTGTGGTGCATCAAGCTACTTCCTTACTGAAAATAAGAATATAAATATAAATTTGTTTTCTCAAATTCTTGCCATGAAAAATTGATGGGTTAAAATTCATGACAGCTGGTCAATCCATTACAGTGAATGTCTACTACAACCATTTGGATGAAATTATGAGGCTGCTTGTGATTAAGCAGCCGAGATCGGTCATTAGAGACAGGCCAATCTTTTTGCAAGACAATGCTTGACCACATGTCACACAAACAGTGCTGCTTGAAGTACAGAAGCTGGACTTGGAGACTATCTGTCATCCACTGTATTCATCAGACCTTGCACCAACTGACTACTACTTTTTCCAGGCTTTGGGCCACTTCTCGCTAGGAAAAATGAATAACAAGCTGTGGAAAATGCCTTTTGCAATTTCATCACTACTCACTCTCCAGACTTCTTCACTGCTGGCATAAACAAGCTGCTGTTAAGATGGCAAAACTGCGTCAATAGTTTGGGTGCTTTGATTAATTGTACTGCTTCTTGTTTGAGATATAATAAACTACATGTTTGATTTTAAATAGGACATTTCATATTTAATGACCTAATATATATAGATATGCTATTGGGGGCTAATTTTGTTGTCCCTCAGTGCTCTCCCGCTCACAGAGTGCAGGGCTGTCTGGCCACCAGGCAATACAGCCGCACTCACTGTCAGCCCTGTTGTGACAGGTGACGTGAAGGCACAGCCGGCTCCTTCAGACCCTTAGGAGTCCTCACAGAAAGGTGCAAAACTATTTTGCAGTTCATCACACAGGAATCGTTCCTGTTTACCGTACTTGTAGTCGCGTCCCTCGTCCTGAGGTCGCGACATCAGGCAGGAAAAAGGAAACAAGCACGCCGAGGTGAAATGCAGTCATCATGCCAGTGTCCTCCCGTGGGGAGAGTTGTGTCGCCACCAGCACCCTCCTCCACCCCTTCCCCAGATCTACAAGGAAAGAGAGGAAGCCAGTGGGGACACTGCTGTGTCCTCACGGATGCCGAGTGTGAGGACACTCCCGACGGCATGACCCAGCCCTTCCCGCTTATGTTCCCTGCCTGTTCATACAGCCAGTGTCTCAGCTGACCATGTTAATTCTCTCTCACACCTTTCCTCTGAGAGCACAGCTCTCTTCCTGTTATTATACATTGGGGCTGTAAAGTGTGTTCCCTGGTGTGGAAAAAGTGACTTGATGCTCCAAACTATTGTGATATCTTCTGTCCATATTCTCTTACATCAGCCTGAGCAGTTGCAGCTGCTGCCAGAGCTGAGCAGAGCCCATGTCTGTTCCCGCCAAGACCCCTTTGCTGCCTTCCAGGGCTCCTGATGTCAGTCTGACTCGCAGCTGTGTATTTTCCAGGTCTTCCCAGTGGGGATTCTGCCACATAGCCATGTGTTGTCCCTGTCTCTTTTCTTGGCAGACAGAACAGTTTTACAGGTGTTCTGTGCTGGGAGGGTGTGCAAGGGGGCACGTCTGATTCAGCCATTTCTGCACTGCTGCAGCCCCCCACGCCCACTTATTTCATCGCCTCACGTGATCACCTCAGACAAGCACGTGGATCGTTTTTAGATGCAGACGCTGTGTTGCCCAGGCTACTCTGAAACTCCTGGGATCAAGCAGTCCTCCCACCTCAGCCTCCTGTGTAGCTGGGACTGCAGGTGTGCCCAGCAAGCATGTGGGGATAAGTGCTTGTCAATGTCAGTCACCTTCCCAACCTGGAAGAGATGATGGGCATCAACAGGTCCTGCCTTAACACACCCTCAAGTCACTTAGCGAATTCCACAGGATTGTGCCTCACCTGGGCCCTCCTTTCATAGGCCAGTTTTCCATTGTTCTCTTGTCTAGTCCTGTGGCCAGGCCACTGGTCACCACCCATACATCAGTAAGTGATCAAAAAAAAAAAAAAAATCTCAGGGCAGTCTGCTGCAGGATTCCCTCTTGCTAGGGGAGGTTCATGTTTTGTTTCATTTATACCTTCAATTGATTGAAAGAAGCCCATCCACATTGAGAGCAATCTCCTTCATTCTAAGTCTAGCGATTTATGTGTTAATCGCATCCAAAAAGCTCCCTTACAAAACATCCTGAATAGTGTTCGACCACCTATCTGGGAACTGTGGTTCAGTCAAGATGAAAAAATCAATTATGACATTCCCCAGTACAAGAATATTCTAAGGAGATTAGCCTTTGACCCAGTAAAACAAGGAACCAACAACTGTTTCTGAAAATTTATAACCAATCAAGTCCTTCTATACATTTCTTGCCCAAATTCACTTTACAATAGTGGGCTAAAGTAGTCTGTATTTGTTCAAAACCAGAGAAGAAGAGAATATTGAAAAAGCACCAAGAGTAAAAAACAAAGAAAAGACATAAGAATAATGACAGAGATGACAGTAGTTATTGCATTGAAACCACGTAAATGCGAAGACAGATGAGCAACATCTTTAAAGTACTAAAAGGAAAATGTTGTCAAACTAGATTCTATTCCCAGGAAAAAAATTTTGGTGTATATGTGTGTGTCTATGTATATATATATATATATATATATATGTGTGTGTGTGTGTGTGTGTGTGTAAATCAAAATACATTCATGGGTTACTGTGTTATGCACTGACATACACACACACACACATACACACACACACACACACACTAAGGAGTGATTAAATCAAGGTAATCATTTTCTAAAAATATCTATCAAAAATTAAGACACTTTAGGCCGGGCGAGGTGGTTCAAGCCTGTAATCCTAGCACTCTGGGAGGCCAAGGCGGGCGGATTGCTCGAGGTCAGGAGTTCGAAACCAGCCTGAGCAAGAGCAAGACCCCGTCTCTACTATAAATAGAAAGAAATTAATTGGCCAACTAATATATATATATATATATAAAATTAGCCGGGCATGGTGGCGCATGCCTGTAGTCCCAGCTACTTGGGAAGCTGAGGCAGCAGGATCGCTTGAGCCCAGGAGTTTGAGGTTGCTGTGAGCTAGGCTGACGCCATGGCACTCACTTTAGCCTGGGCAACAAAGCGACTCTGTCTCCAAAAAAAAAAAAAAAAAAAAAATTAAGACACTTTAAACATGCAGAAAGTGAAAGAATTCATAATTATTAGACCTGCAGTATTCTAAATGTTTCAATCCTTCAGGCAAAAGGAAAATGATTTTGGATACAAATATGTAAAGAAGCGCACCAGAAACAGTAGCTATGTGGGTAGACACACAGGATTTTTTCATACTATTAATATAAATCTTATTGAAAGACAATGGTAATGACTTTACCAGAAATGGTGGTAAACTCCTAAAACACAACCCCCCACTAAAGCAGCTAATAACCAAGAAAAAATTGACACAATCAAGTTTTTCTGAACTCTGGTATCTAATAAAAAACTTGCAACCACCAAGGATAGTGCTTAATGAAGAAGGAAGGTTCTTGGGCCAGTTGCGGTGGCTCACGCCTGTAATCCTAGCACTCTGGGAGGCCAAGGCAGGAGGATTGCTCGAGGTCAGGAGTTCAAAACCAGCCTGAGCAAGAGCAAGACCCCGTCTCTACTAAAAATAGAAAGAAATTAATTGGCCAACTAATATATATAGAAAAAATTAGCCGGGCATGGTGGCACATGCCTGTAGTCCCAGCTACTCGGGAGGCTGAGGCAGGAGGATTGCTTGAGCCCAGGAGTTTGAGGTTGCTGTGAGCTAGGCTGACACCACGGCACTCACTCTAGCCTGGGCAACAAAGCGAGACTGTCTCAAAAAAAAAAAAAGCTTCTAAACTGTGGCAAGAGAGCCTGCCTGGTGGCATTTTTACTTAGCCCCCTGCTGACTCCACCCCACACCCCCAGCTGTGAGGCAGCTATGGGGTTGGTGGCCCACATTCCGGGTGCAGCTGCCTGATGCCAGAGCAGGTGAAATGAACCTTGTTCTCAAAGAACTGTGGCCGTGTCCTTCTGCGTGTACGATGGCCCTTAGGACATCAGCTCAGAGGCTTGTCTTTCTTTCAGTCTACTCAGAACTTTATTAGGGCTGGAGTGGTCCCACAGCAATGTTTGTCAAAAGCATTTAAAGGCATATCCTAGTCATAGCTGCCTGGGGCAAGAAACAAGAGGTGGGGCAGGCTGCAGACAGAGTGGAAAGCCTAGGATGGGGGGGGCTGGAGAGGAGGGTACATAGGGAAATGTGTCTTTGAAAACCTCCCACCTATACCAAAGAATCTAGAATGCCACATGCAGGCCCAGGCTACACACATGCTCAAAAAAGACCTGAGACGACCTTAATCTCTCACCTCTGGCTGATGCTTAGGCTCCATATAAGCAGTAGATGGAGGCTAACATGGAAGTGGAAACAGCCTGGATCCACAGCCTGGACCACCCCAACTCAGAGCCCATTTGCAATGTCTGGAAGAATATTATTTATTTTTGTGGCTCCAGCTGTTTAAGGAAAGCTCTGTCAAATCACTAGCTGACCACTGAGCTACTATTAGTAGACTTCACTGACCACATATGACAAAGAACAATCTTACAAGTATAGTTTAAAAAAGTCATTAAGTAATGACATCCACAACAAGCAGCAACAAGAAACTTTGGGGAGGGGAAGAATGTGATTTCCTGATTTACCATATTATAGTATTCAAAATGTTCAATTCTCAACAAAAAATGTTAAGGTATACAGCTATTCAAGAATGTGGCCCATTCACAGAAAAAAATAAAATTCACTGAAGCTGTCCCTGTGAGGGGTCGAGACATTGCATAAGGAAGCCAAGTCACTGTACTTACTAGATAAAAACTTTAAATCACTAGTCTTAAATATGCTCAAAGAGCCAAAGAAAGTCATGGACATAAAACTAAAGGAGAAGAACAATATCTCACCAAATAAAGAGTATTTGATAAACATATAATAAGAACCCAGATTGTAATTCCAGAGTGTTGTAGCTCAGATTCTGGTGGGGCAAAGGCAATATATGTAACCTAAACATTTTACTCCCATAATATTCTGAAATTTATAAAAAGAGAAATTCTAGAGTGGAAAAGTATAATTACTGAAATAAAAATTTACTAGAGGAGTTCAAGAGCAGACTTGAACAGGCAAAAGAATCAGCAAACATTAAAATAAGTCATTTGAAATTACAGAGTATGAGGAGCAAAAAATTTTAAAAAGATGAAGAGAAGTCAATATCCTAAGGGAGTTATGGGACATTATCAAGGTAAGCAAGGTTAGCAAGTAGAAGACAGCAAATTAAAGA